ATGTATTTATGAAAGGCGCAGTGAAGAAGTGTAGCTACCTCTTTCCTAACTCACAATACAAGAAAATACATGCAACCAACTGCACTTGGTAAGTAAATTAAGAATATAAACACACCTTAAATCTCAGATGTTTACATACAAAACAATAATAAAATCAGAACTTGTTCTTATCTCTTCAATAAAACATTGCTAGTGGAGACCTCAATCACTGAATAAAGGCCATCTTTGTGCAGGTGTTTATAATGCTCCTGTCAATGATCACAGCTTGGTACAGCACATTTTTCCAAGGTATCTCTAACACAAAAGGAAACCAACAACCCCATTGTGAAGTTACAGCAAGTGAACGTTGGTGGCTACCCCAAAAGGGGGCAACTGAGCCTACACTGTGGACAACACGGAAGCACTGCTGAGGAATCCATCTAACCCACCTACAGCTTACACCTGCACAAACCAAGGTGCGTGGAAGGTTTTTTGTGATGCCAAATACCCGATGTGACACCTGTGGCAAAGTGTAACCAACCCAGCAGCTACAGCCAGGCACACAGCGTGCATTCTGAGAGCAGCTCTGCAGCACAGAGGGATCCAGTCCAGCAAACGGACAGAAGGAAACCTGCCAGCTTCACAGCCGTGTGACAGCGCCGACTGCCACACACAGCCCTGCACAGCTCTTTCACAGAAGTACAGCTTTCCTTAGCTGACATCAAAACACACACATTTGTCCCAGAGCACTAAAGCACTACCCAGCTGCACGCAGGGCTGCACCGCCATCATTAAAAATAGGCAAACGTGAGACTATTACTAGAAGCATAAGCAGTAGAACACATAGCCAAGCACACAAGTGTAGGGTAGGATCCCTCCAAACAGCACTGGGCCTTTGCTCCTTCTGCAATCCCAGCCAACAGCTCTATGTGCGATGTGACAAAAACCTCAGACTAAGGGCACGTCAGTGAGCTCAGACACAACGAGCTCAGCGCTCGGGGATGGATGGAGGCCTCGTGGCCTGAGCTGCTCCCAGCCCAACACACAGCAAAGCTCCAGGCTCCTGCAATCCGCCCTGAAGAGCAGCAAACAACCTCAGCCTTCGCCGCACCTCCGGACACGCAGCCCAAAGCAGCGTTCATCCCCAGCCCAGGGAAACGCAGAGGGCCCACGTGTGGGGGCTGTAGGGAAGAAGCAGCAGCGATGAGCTCCAAAGGCACAGAGCAGAAATCCCTGCGGGCTCTCCAGTCTGTAAAGTAAAGGGCCTCCGCAGCCGATGGGATGGAAGTGCTCCCGCACACGCAGCGCCGTCTCCGCGCTCAGCACGCACCAAGGTCACCAGCCGACGAGCAGCTCCTCGCTTTGAACGAGAATACCCCGACTGTTACAGAACCGTAAGGAACGACTCCGGACGGCGCCGCTGAGGGAAATCAGAAGGCGGCCGAAGCGCCGCAGCCCCCAGCAGCGCAGCGCTCCGAGCCGTTCCGGCTGCGATCCCCAGCAGCACCGAAACGCGGAGCTCCGCGGGCTGAGCGCCGGGCCGCGCCAGGACAAGGCGACCGCCCTCCGCCTCCGCGCCTCCCGCAGGAGCCGCTCTCTCCCTCCGTCCCTCCCGCTCCGCTCCGCTCTCCCCGCACGCAGCCCATTGTCACCGGGCGCAGCGCCGCGCCGCACCGCCGCCGCACGGCGCGACCCCCGCGGGCGGGGCCGCCTCAGGAAGCCGAGCGCGGCCGCGAGGGCAGCGCCGCCGCGAAGCCGAGCCCGGGCCGCTGCCCGCCCGCCCCGCGACCCCCCCCCCCACCCCGGACCGCCGGAAGGAGCCGGGCCGCCCCCCCGGGCCTCTCCTCACCACGAGTACGTCTGCTCCGCCATGGCTGCGGCGGCCGGCCGGGCCCCGCGCTCCTCCTCCGCCGCCGCCTCCTCCCGCGCCGCGCAGCTCCGGGGCTCAGTGGCGGCCCCGCTGCGGCTCGCGGCCCAACATGGCGGCGGCGGCTGCGAGGAGGGAGGGGAGCGAAGGGGGGGTCCGCAGCCGGGCGGGGAGGGGATGGCGGAGCGGGCGATGGTGGTGGCGGCGGGGCGAGGCGGCGCTTCAGCAGCCGCGACGCGGAGCCGCGTTCGGGCGCCGGCTGGGCCTCATGGCCGGCGAGGCGGCGGCGGCGGCGGCGGCGAGGGGCGGGCCGGGGGCGGGCGGCGGCTGCCGGGCCGGGCCAGGCCGCGCCGCGAACCCGCGCTCGCGCTCGCGCACGGCGGAGGCGGAGCCCGCGTGGGGGCGGGCGGGCGCGGCATCACGTGCCCACAACACGCTCACGTGCCGCCGCCGCGCGCACGCGCGGGGAGACAGCTCGAGGCCGCGGGGGGGGTTGTGGTTGTCGGGCCCGGCCGCGCCGCGACCGTGCGGGCGGGCAGGTAATAGTGAAGGCTGGGAGAGGGGCGGGGAGCCGGGCTCGTCCTGCCCGAGAAAGGGCTGTGCTGTGCTCTGGAGCTAAGGGTGGGCTTTGTGCTGAGGCTTTGGGCTGTGCCGTGCTCTGGAGCTAAGGGTGGGCTTTGTGCTGAGGCTGTGCCGAAAGAGGAGCAGGTGGTAAATGCAAAGGGTCCGGTAAGCTGGCTCTTAAATTCGAGCATTAAACGGAGCGTGAATTTCCTCTGGGCTGTGCCTTGGGCTGCTTTGCCCAGCTGTGCTGGGTCGGTTTCCCCCATTAGCACAGAGGGAACCGCGGTCTGCGCACACGTTGCACGGAGGGGACGCGCGGTACCTCGCTTCGGCTGCTTTCAGTAAGTTGGTGCTGCGCCTTGGAGGCTTCTGTGCTCCGTTTGTATTTGAAGCGCGGTTAAGCGCTGCCCTGGAGGCGGAAGGAAGCCTTGTTCTCCCCGTTCTGTTTTCCGTAGCGGTCGCACAGCTTTGGGATGCTGTCGCACAGCTCTGCGCCTCGCGGGCAGGAAGGACTTCAGAGCTGCTGACATAACCAACGCTGAGAAAAACCCGCTTGAAATTGGATTTATCAGCTATGGGGGGGAATACCAAAAGCACGGCGACCAATAGGCTCGCTGGGGTCCCACTGTTAGATAGGAATCCCAGCATCTCCTCCCAGCCCGGCTCGGGTCACCTTGCGAGATGCTCTTTGACCTCCCCTCTTTGCTCCCACTGCTCGCCCACCACCCCGCCGCCCCGCTCTGTAGGCATTAAACTGCCGTGCGGTGCAGGGACAGCAGGATGAGTCACAGAGCCTCGAGCTGGAGGGAGCAGCGCCCAGCTGACCCTCCTGGTGGAAGTCATCGGTTCTCCCCCATCCTCGTCTCAAATTAGGAAATAAAACAAGCTCGGCTTTCCGCAATGGAGAAATCCCCTTGCTTTTCCTTCCTCGGCCCAGCAATGCAACATTGAATAACAATTAGAAAGCTGACGAATAATTTGAAATCTTCACTCTGCTATGATGCAATCCCAGGGTAAGGCATTCATCTCTTCTTAGTGATTATGATACAGTGAATGCAAGAGAAAAAACAACTCTCCTGTCTTTTGAATCAACACAGGGAAAGATAAACGAGTGTTTCAACCTTGTCTTGATACTCAACTTTTTTTTTCCCCCCTGAGACATTGTAAAACAGACATTGGTATCTATAAAGCAACAATATTCCTGCTTTGTGCCCTTATTGAAACGCTTCCAATTTCTATCTTGCAAAATTTACAGCACATTAATTTGACACAAGTGATTTTTAGCTGATGAGCTATTAGACTATAATTTTTTTTCCCAGCATCTCAGGGTTGGTGCATAAACTACTACATGATTTTGCAAGCTTTGTCTATCATTACATTAGAATAGCTGGATGAATTCACAGGAGAAATATTCACAGGAGAAATGTGTTCCTCCTTGCAGACCCAGCACCTGCATTACTCTAAAGGGGAGCACAGCCTGCATCCCCCCAGATAATTTTCTCATCATCTCTTTTGTATGTGCTTGCTTTGGACCTACAGGGGAGCTTTACTTTGAATTTCAGTGAGAATGTACTCTGACATTACAAAGCCCTTCCAAAACAGCTGTTCTGTCTGGTGCCTTTGATACAGACTGATGCACTGCTTTGACCTGTCAAAGTATTTCAAAACTAGCAGCAACCAAAAATATTGTGTTTTCTTTTATGTAGCTCTCAGAGCACAGACGGGAAAGTATGGTAGAGAATCAGATCAAAGGACTGGCTGCAAAGTCCTCACCTCCTAAGGGCTTAAATGGAGTTAGATTACGTTCATCCAACTCTGCCTCTATGCCTTTATAATGGAGGTGGAAAGAGAGCCAGAATAGATTCATGTAGATTCATTTCACCTTTCAGGAGAGGACATAACAAGTAAAGCTGTCAACCCTGCATGGCTTTGGGAGGAACAAATGGCACAGAAATGAGTAAAAAGGGAATGAAAAAAAATGAAGAGATCCAGTTTTGACAGTATAGCTCAGAGCTATGCTAGGCTATTCTGCTTGTAAGATCCTCATGGGATTCCCCTTGATAAAAAATAATTAAAACGTGCTCTGACCAGTATGTGACATGATTCTCTTCACTACCACCTAGTGGGAAACTCCTTCATTAACTGAGCTCCACAGCTGTTCCTGTTCTCAAACATCCTCACCCTGACGATGGAGGCTGTGTGTAAGTGAAGGGGGAACTGAGAGATGAATGAGAAGGACACTGTCCTCATTCTCTGTACCAGAATAAGAATTGTAAAGAGAGAGATCACCTCTAATTTAAAGCCATTGGGTCCTAAGGCATTATCACACCAGAACTCCCCGCTCTGCATCCGCTGTAGTTCTTAATGGCTGTTACAGCTCAGCATCACTGAGAATCCCAAAATTTAAACACAGCCTTTGGTCGTACAGAGCAAAACATCCATTCTTCTGAATGCAACTGCATCCTGCCAGCAGTGATGAGGAGGAACTTGTTAGGCCATTCCTGTATCTCAGTCACAACAGAGCATCGCCCTCTTAAAATTTTCTGATTGTACTCTTACTTGTAATTGAAAGTAGGGAAAGAGGAAAAAAACCAGCTTTCCTTTTTTGTAAAGTCATATTTTCAATTATGTTACTATTCATATTTACAACAAAGATTACTCAATTAAAGCATTAACTGTGTATATATGGGGAACATTAACACCATGTATTTGGGCGAGTCCTTTCCCACTGAGATACCCAGGGTTTGCACCAACACTGAAATCTGACCCTCTGGAAACAACACAGACAGCAATTACCTTGGATTGTTCACAGTCCTGGGTACCACTTGGGACTGAGCTCCCAAGGCACAAATTAGAATCAGTTTTGTCATTTGCATTCTTTTTTCTCCAACCGTGGAAATAGGAGTGAACACTGTAATAACAACTCTCAGATCTCACACAGGTGATGTTAAATGCCATTCAGGCCAATGAAGCATTTAGCAGTCTCAGCAGGAAGAAAAGTAAAATGGTAAAGAATTACTAAGAGAACCACTTCTCTGCATTTCTCTCCCCAACAGTAATGTTCCCACCACATTCACAGACCCTTACAAGCTCGCTCTGCTAGCATTTCTGTCAATGAAATAGTTAGATTTCTTTCTTTCCCTTTGTGTTCCTTGAAGTCACATTGGGCTGCCTTTATCTTAGCCAATTACTGCATTCTTCGTCAGGAACACTTAAGGATGGATATAACTCAGCACATGAAAACAAAGGTAACAGTTGTACTGATACAAGAATTCAGGTTATGGGAGTCTATTATCTGCTCTCCATTCTATACACAGGACCTGCTGTCTATTACTTGGGTTTTTCCCTGGTGTAATAAGGAGAATACAGACTTATTAGTCTAAATAATAAGAAAATCCTACTGTATACCATTTATACTTTCAAGCAGCAGCTGTCAGTATTAAGTAATGCACAGTTCAATTACCCTGTTACGTGCAGCAGAGGATTACATTGGAACAGTTAATGGAGGAAGACTGGAGGAAGTGGGCACATCCTTACCTACAATGGTCTAGACTGTCTGTACATCAGGAGAAATGAGGAAAAACATAACTGAAAAACATACAACAGTGCAAAGCATTCAAGCATGTTTCAAGAGTCTTTATTATCATAGAATGGAATCGTAGAATGGCCTGGGTTGAAAAGGACCACAATGATCATCTAGTTTCAACCCCCTGCTATGTGCAGGGAAATTATGATTTATTATGTTTGCCATTAAAATAGAAATCAGACTTCTTGTGATTACTAATTGATCTGTTTCTCAAGTGTGCATCTAAACCAATTTGTTAATAAAACGTTATTCACAAGCCTGCTGTTACTTCTGGCCCGTTTAGTGTAGAAGAGCTGCTTATGTCTTATTGTTGAAGCACTGAATTTAAGGAAAAGCAAGCAATTTTGCAGCAAGAAATTCAAAAGCAGATGCTGCAAACAAGAGGAGAACGAGCAAAATCGTTCAGTGTTTCCAAACTTGAAGAGCTGGCCCTGCCACAACCACCAGGATCACATCAGTCTGAGTGAGTTAAGAATCAAGTCACGGCCCAGCAAATTGTTGCAATTAAGGAAATCAACACATACAAACACTGGTAATAAATGAAAATGAGTATAGCAAAACAAACTTCTTTCAAATACTCATTCTCAATGCAAAAACTGTGAGGTGCAGTGTAGTTACAGGAGTGTATTATTTGGGTTATGGCACTCTAGTGTTTACTTTCTGCTCTGCTACTAGAACTGGAATCCAGCCTTAAAGCTTTGCTGTTACCCACATTGGCTTCTGCTATCCTTAATGCCTCACACCTCCCAGCAGCATGTTATAGAAATGGTAAAAACCTGAGAAATACATACTGCAATCTGTTGTGTCAGTGCATAAGATAGGAGTGCTAGGTAATACATGGCAGCAGTCTCCTCCCTTTTTCCCAAGTGCACGGTCTGATTGCTCATAATTTGCAATTCTGAAGAAACACTATAGAAATAACACTATAGAAATCACTATTTTTCCTGCACTGGAGAACATGAAATACTGAACAGAGCCTCAAACCATTCACTAACACAGGCTGGTGAGTTACGGCGAAGGTAAAGGTGATGATGGAGTCGTTTAAACAACACTTCTTTCTTTCTTGTTTTCTTTTGTTGTTTATGTGCCTATAGTTTAGAATGTTAAAGTGATTGAGAAGACTTACCTCCTTTCCAGTACTTGAATAGATTCCATATTCAACTCCAAATTCTCCACGTGGCATCCAGCCGTAGCATTCAGTGAGGTCCCAACCTACAGGCAGACATTCACTTCTGTTTTCACAGTCTTCAAATCCCACTGGCTTCAAGACAGGCTGTTCTAAAAGCCCCTGCAGCTGCAGGTCTGCAGGGTGCACAGAATCAAGGCAGAAGGCTTCTGGGTGTATCAGGAATCCTTGAAACCACACAATACAGGCAGATCATTTGTTGCTATGTTCTCTTCTCTTTACAGTTCCCTTAGCAGATGATGGTTATGTCTGAACTCGGGGCTGTGTGTCCCCCACCCCCAAAGCACACAACAGAATTCAGAGCAGGCAACCTTTTAAATAAGAACAATGGTAACAGTGTCCATCTTAGTTTAAATCAAAGAAATCATCATACCACAGAAAAAGATATCTAAGTAACGTTGTGTGACAGAATCTGCTCTGTCATTCATTGCAGGGGACCCCCAGTCTGTTGTCTTCACTCATAAAATCCTTGAATTCTAAGGATGCATCACGAATAAACTATGAATTGTGGTTGGATGCTGTAACTGCAATGCACAGTTACTGCTATTGGCCAGTGTTGTTGGCACGTCTGCTAGGGTGGGGTGGGGATGAGCAAAGTTGTAATCGGAAGTAAAATGCACACAAATTGTGTCAAAGCATCAGCAGGAGAATCTCAAATCTCACCGCTTCTTAAATGCTCTTTTTGCATTACAATAAACACGAATCTTTGAAACGAAAGTTTTTGTGTGTTCACACTGGAGTTTCTTACATTGTTTTAACACGGACTCCAAAAGGTTACTTCTTTTAGCCTTCTGTAGCCATCCGAGCTGTTTTAACATGCTGCAGCAAGGGGAACCGGTGGTACCCTGGGTGTAGATGCCATCTGAAAGAAAAGGTGACAGTCAGCAACAGCCCTGGCTGGGAAGGTCAGCCCAGCAGCACTGTGTTGGAATACATTTTTTGAGACAGTTCTGTTGGGCCCCCCTTTGCTTGGGCTTGGTGGAAGCGATATAAAACAAGGCGAGTGGCTGCCCATAGGAAACTTCCACTGAAACAACAGTTTTAAGTCCTCCTGTTGATACGTAAGAAGGAACCATTTACAAGATGCTCGTGCACCATCAAGTCCACGCCAAGTTATTTCCTAATTCAGCCATTCAAAATGGATGAAGTCATTCATATATTTTCAGACTGGAAAATATCATGTAATATAAAATAACGCATATATCAAATATCATAAAATATCATAAAATAAAGATGAGAATTGCCCTAAATTATTCCAGTGAAGTTACAGAGCATGTTTTCGGGATTCAAACAACAGGTGGGAGTAGAACATTAGAGCAGGGTTGGTATCAAGAGACGTAGGTGATAAATGGGAGCCAAAGCTGCCCAGAGCACTTCTCAGAAGCAGGGCAGCTGCAGATAGGGATTCTCAGCACGTACCAACACCCAGGGCTAGTCCTTCCCATGTGCTCGAATCACAAGCTCAATGGGGCGAGCAGTATCTGAATTATGTGCATGCACAGCTTTTTCTCATCAATTCAGCAATAAACGTAGCAAGTTCTAATGGTGGTGCTGATGTTTGCATATTAAGATACCCAGCAAGCCAAAGGCAAAAGCAAAAACAATCATTTAAGACTCAATGCTCTGCCAGGAGCTCCAGAACATCCTGCGGGTCTTGGGAACGCTCAAACCAACCCAGTGGTCACTCGTCTCTACTGGAGGGCTGTACAAAGGCAAACCAAGCTGCCGAGGCAATATTTTTGCAGCCCAAAGCCCTCGGCAAGGGCTGAGAGTGGCTCAGCCCAGCCCACCACAGCTAGAGCTCAGAGGAGACTCTACAACCTTCCAACATCGGCGAACGCAACTCTTCCTTGTAGGCACTCTACCTCTTCCTTCTCTAAAATGAACGGGGCCAAAAGGAAGCCTTGTTTTTCCACTCTTGTTCTCTTAGTTTTCTTTCCATAGCTTATTTTTCCATGCTGGCAGACCTTCTATCCCTTCATTTTCCTCTCCCCGTTTCCCTCCCTTTCCCCCTCCCCCTGCTTTCTCTCCCTCTGCACTTTGTGAACTGCTGCTGCAGTGCTGAAGTCCAAAGTTCAGTAACTTGCTAAGCACACAGATAAATATGAACCTTGGAGAATTTACCAATGTAAACAGATAGCCAAGGGTCCCTTTATCAGCACTGGCTCAGGACAGTCGTGGGGGGTCCGAAGTGGCTCAATTTTGTATTTTGTTTTTTTTTGGGGGGGAGTAAAGGCGGGAGGCTGCGCTGTGCCCGCTGCTGACAGTCGGGCGTGTTACCTCAGGAACATGGTGTAGGGAAGCTGGAAGCAGGGGAACGTGGAACTCAAACCCAAGGAACACCAGCCTGAAGACCATGGTCTCGAAGCTGAGCCATCTTCAAGTGGAGCTGCTGGGAGCGCTGCTGGAGTCGGGGCTAACCAAGGAGACCCTGATCAAGGCACTGAGCGAAGTGGAACCCTACGTGCTCCAGAGTGAAAGTCAGCATGCTATCAATGCCCTGCAGACAGAGAAAGGGGAGTCCTGCCCCGAAATCCCCAATCTCCCCAATGGAATGGGGGAAACCAGGTTGTCGGAAGATGAAACCTCTGATGACGGGGAGGAATTTACCCCTCCGATAATGAAGGAGCTGGAAAACTTGAGCCCTGAAGAGGCTGCTCACCAGAAGGCTGTGGTGGAAAGACTATTACAGTAAGGAAAGATTTGCTGCTCCTCTCTGCTGCTCTTTCTTGCATTCTCCCGCTAAGTCTTTTCCTTACCTTTTATGCTCAGCGTGCTCACAACTGATCTAGCTGCAGAGTTCCCATCCATGCCCGACTTTCCCCCCACAACACTCCCCATATTCTTACAGATGCTCAACCTTTCTCTTTTAATCTCACTTCAAATGCATAAAGGGAACCATGGAGCCCGATTACGAGTTTGAAACGCTTGTATCATCAGGATTGAGAACAGCTCACGGGCTGCATAAATTGCATCTCTGACTAAACGCTAGTTTCTGCCACTTATACTTCTATAGGATTCAAAATTTCAGTCATCAAGGAAAGAAAAAGTAATATCTGGTCACACTCTTAACAGGTATCATATTAGCCAGTGACTTTATGGTAAAGCGACGCTGTGAAGTTTTCCTGCTAATTTTAAGGTGATAAATATTTTTAACTTTACTGCTCTTTGAAGTATTGATGGTAAAGACAAACCAAGGGAACTTCTCATCCCACGAGTGCTTAGTTATCCTGACTTCAGTGGAGATTTTCTTGTAGAAAGAGCACAAATCAAACACCTGCAGTGAGGCAGAACCCAATGCTTCTACCATCCACTCTCTGTCACAACTATAAAGTACATATGCAGCAACAACTGCAGGCTTTACAGCCACACTATTTTGCCTTTGCATACACGCATTGTTAGTACCAAAAGACAGGCAGAGCTCCCTAACCAGTAAGTCTTAGGACAGAGGAACATTCACTGGGATTACCATTTGGCATTGTTCATGGGACAATATTTCTGTGGGCAAAGAGATTTGCCCAACAAGGATCAGGTCCACCCAAGCAATCTAGCACCCCAGAAGCAGAGCCTGCCCATCTGTTTTGGGGGGTAGACATTCTGAAATCTCAAGCTGACAGAAAATCCAAGACATAACAATGACCTGCACCTAGAATCTTCACTAAAACCAAAACCCAGTTAGAGAATTTCTCAGACATTGCTGCCTCCCTCCTCTTCACTTGCAAACAAAATAAATATTAAAGGTAACAACAAGAAGCAAAACATCAAATCCCACCAGAAAGGCCAAAGCCAGAAAAACACAGGTCAGAGTTAGCACTCACCATAAATACTTAGGAGATGGAAGATGGCGGACTGGGAGCTGTGACAGCTGCATCCAACAGAGGTAAATTCACTGGCTCAGCTCTTACCCAGGTGGGGAAAGCACTCCCAATAATCCAGTCTTCTTTTTGGGCCAGTCTCTCTTTCTTCTCTTCTGCTTTTCCAGCTCTGTTACACCTTTTAGCCTCCTTTGTTCCCCTTACCTTTCTCTCCCCCATTCTTTGGACCAATTCCCTCTTCTCTCCTCAGTTTTGTCTCTGCTGCCAATCCTCCCCTTTTGATGTCTCCCTGGCTAATTTTTCTCTCCCTTCCACGCATTTCCTTCCCCTCATCCTCGCCTCCTTCTTGTCTCCCTGAGTCTGCGTACAGGTCTTGGGGTAGTTTGAGACCAGTGGCACCGGGCGGGCCCTGGCTAGTTACTAATTATCCAATGGCTTTATTATTTCTCTTTTGTCTTATAAATTTATAGATGAAAAGCCCCTGATAAGCTTTTTGATCATTAACTTCCGATCAGGTATCTCTCCTCAAGGGAGACCATGGAAGCTGAAGAGGAGCTCCTGGCTTTGCCCCATTTTCTTTAATGAATGGGTGAAGCAGGACTTCAGTGCTATCGCCTGTGATCTGAGAACAGGCTCACGTATGGAGGGAATTCCTTCCTGCCAACTTCACTTTAGCACAATTTCTGGTTTCTGACCATCTGTGCCTTCCAGGGTGCTTGCTACTGGTTTTACCTGTGCACATTATCAGGCTCAGCACAAGACTTTCTTGCCTTGCAAACCTGTGACATTAATGCTTCCTGGCCAACAGTCTCACGTCTCTCTGCAGACAGTCAGTTGAGTAACATTCCCCTTTTATAGAGATTCTGTGACTTACCTAAACCCTATGAGGGTAGAGAAAAGGATAGGTGAGAACCAGAGTCTCCCAAGCCTTAACCCAAGTTGTAATTGCAAAGCTCAGAGCTCTCATTCATCAACCCCAAGTACCACAGGACAGAGCAATGCACCAGCAGTCCAAAAAGTCAGAAGTGTATATATGGAGGAATATAATAGATTAAAACTATTCAAGGTAAAGTGAAAACACTAGGGAGTCTGTATTGTCAAGTATCATATTACATAAATCTTTGATCAGAAAATATATTCAAAGCAATTTTATGTCTGAGAATCTATTCCAACTATCTGAACCAATATCAGGGTTTGATAATGTCTAAGCAGTTGTTGCTTACTAAAGCTTTTTCTTTGTTTTTAAGAATAAACTTTCCCATTAACAGATGCCAAAAGGTAACATCCTTAAAATAATATTGTAATTATAGACAGGACAGAAGAAGCTGTAATAGGAATTACTCTATAATAGAAATTACTTCTAGCAATGAATAAAGGAAAGGAAGGCAAGAAATCTCCAAGCCCAGGTATTCCCAGTAGAACTTCAATGATTGCAAAACTACCTATTTCAGCACCTACACAAGGATTTCATGTTGAGAAATCAGATGGAGGCTCTTTTGCCTTTAGAAAGAAGTTTCTTCAGGCCAACAATTCCTGGTCTAATACTGCAGACCACATTTTAACAGAGAGATTGACTTGTGGGCAGCTATAGGCAATACAAGAAAGTCTTTGTGGTAACTGCAGGTATTACTCATTAAGTAGTACCAGAGGGAGCCCACTGCTAGGCTTTCCAGGAGATGGAAAGGAAAAGTGACAGCACCAAGAGACCCAACACATCCTTACAGGACCACTGAAGTTGAAATCGTGGTTTTAGAAGCACAGAACAAAGCTGAGTAAGCTAGGAATTAGACAAGAGACTTCAACACAACTGGGTGATCCTATGGGCATCTATCACATTTTGTCCCTGCAGAAAACAACTGATAAAGGCAGTTCAGACTAAGCTTCTGTAGTGAGGAATTGACATTTCATCATTTCGTCCCTAAATGCTTCATTGATGTTCCACAAATTTGCAATCTGAGCGACAACATTCCTTCTAGATCACCCTACAGAGAGAAAGAAGGGCCTGGTATTACCTACAGAAGGCAAGAGAGAGGCGTCCTTGGGAGCAGGGACGGATCGTGTCACTGCACGTCCAGGGAATGGCGAGAGGTTTAGCAGCAGTTCACCTGTAGGGCAAGGAGCAAAATTCCATTAGGAAAGAGAGAAATTGAGATAAGCAACAGGTTTTCCCCTAAAGGCAGGGTCAAAAGCATGCCTTCCTTGAGGAAAAAAAGAAAAGCGACGATAAAGAGTCAATATCTTCCTCACGCAAAGTGTCTTCGAGTTGCTGTAACTGGGGAAGGCTGAGATGAAGCTGACACACCCCTTTCATTTCCACGTATAAACCAAGATGAGGTAAACCAGGCCAAGTTCATCAGAAAGGAACCCTGCCGATGGTCTTACCTTCCCTGCTCTCCACCCAGCACGGCTCCAGGTGTGCAATGGCATCAGTGAGGGGTGCCTAGCAGGCTCCAGAGGGAAGGGACAGGGCACGGTGCTGAGAACTTCACAGCTCTGAGCCTCTGCTTAAGTGAGCTCTGGTCCAAACAGCAATTCAGAACCTACAAAGGATTCTCTTGCCTGAGAATCTGAGAAAGAAGGAAAGGAGAAATAGGGGAAAAAAAAATAAATGGGAAGAAGAAGGGATAGAAAGGAACAAAGGAAAAAAGAAGGAAAAGTCAAGAAGAGTGAAGGAAGGAGAATGTCCCCCGAATGTTACATCTCCAGCTCTCTGGAATGGGTTTTCTTTAATGCTAACAACTTGATATTTACTTTCCATTTAAATTTGAGATGTTGCTATAAATTATCAACCAGCCTCTTGTTCCCTTTGAGTTTATAACTAACTACCTGGGTTACTTATTGTTCAGGTAACAAAAGGGAGGTGAAAACGCCCTTAAAAAGTGACCTCAAAACTAAGAAAATGGGAAGCTGGAATGGAGAGAAGACCCAGACCCCTGTGGCTGAGATGAGCCAGGGAGAGGGGCCATGCTCAGAGCTGAAAGCAGGACAGCAAGATTTGGGAAGTCAGCACTACGTGGGAAGAATTTCCAGGAAGAACTTAACATCTCCAAAGCAAGAATGGGATGGGGAGGCAGCTTCTATTTGGGAAGGATGAAGATTAAAAAAGCAGAAAATGGGCTTGCAGGGAGAAGAGAGCTTGAGTGAGGCACACCCAGTTCTAACTCACTGTGGAAGTGAGATTTTAGCACACCTACAACAGGAAAACTGACAGTCAGTGACAGCCCTACCACTGGTGAAGGAATTAAGGTTTACCTTATGATCTCTATGACAATAATGCAGACACTGCAGGTGGAACTGAGCATCTGGGCAAGAGCTCATTTCAGGGTTCAGCTGAGCAGCTGCCATTGCTTGTTTTGTGGTATAGTCCAGGGCCAAAATAAATTGCTGCACTGATATTACAGCCTGTGTTTTGATGATGGACAGAGTAGTTTGGATTACATACAGCTATCTTATGAAATTATACTGTGCTAAGATTTCCCTGCAGTGTTTTCCCTTACAGAACCCTCTCTGCTTTGTCTCAAAACAAAACAAACAAACAGAAAAGAAAGCACAAGGCTTTGAACTACTGCGAAAAAGAGACTCTCGGATTCTTCCCGCTTTGTTCCTACCACAAAGAAGCAAGGATCTTGACAGGGAAGACAGAAGTGACTCACCATCAGCCTGCAGGAAGGAAATCAATATGTAACAGTGGTTTCCATCAGTAATGACACAGTCCCTCCTTTCCCCATCTGAGCCAGAGCTCAAATCTAAGACAAAGAGATTACCAGTCTGAGCCTTTTCTGTGTAGGGACTTGTGCCCTGAATTTGTTACACATGTGCTGGTTAGACTATATCACAAATACTGAGGGAGGAAAGACACTGACGATGGAACAGCTCTGCAAGTTCAGCCCAGTTTGAGGCTTCTGAAAAGACAAAGATAGTTAAGGCAGCAGGCTAGAAGACTGAAGCTCTGTAAGCAAGTGTACCATCATAACAGAGAAGCAAATGGTCCCAATTTAAGAAAACAGATTCAGAGAGCTGTAACCAACCCTGCTTCTGCCATACATACAACAGCAGCAGAGCTTGCTCCTTGGACTACCCAGCCACTGTGAAAGGCTGTGAAGGGAACAGAGATAAGGGTATTTGCACTGAGAGAACAGGTGTGGACTTTGTCCTGCTTATCACTTTGCAGCCTCTGGCAACCTACTGAATCAACAAAGCCTCCAACAGTACAGCTGTTGCCAGTTGCTCAGATCTCTGTATTCTTGCAACACATCACCCACAATATTAGAAATATTTTTTTCCATCCCTGCTCTCCTTTGATGCTGGTGTTACATGCAGCACCACTGTACTTCCACAATGTGCAAACCTTCTCCATCGGTTACCTTGCATACAAAAACAGAAGGATGCTTTGTTAAAACGGAACCAGAATCTTTTCCATAGAGAGGCTCCTGAGTTGACTGGTTCTAGATTGCCTGTTTTCCCATCTTTCTATTTTTACTGTGATTTTCAGCCTCAGCAAAACTGACAAACACAAGGAAGTCGCAATCAAAGTCACGTTGTCTATTCTCACAAATCCATAGAAAGCCTCAGCTTGGAAGGGACCTTAAAGACCACCTAGCTTTAAATCCCCTGCTGTGGGCAAGGCACCCATTAGATCAGGCTGGGCCCCATCTGAACGGGCACTGAACGCCTCCTTAGGAACAGCTGTGGATATTCTAATTAGAGGTCTTAATCAGAGATTCACGTTCATTATAAAATCCCAAATCAGATTAGCTTCAAGTTTTCCCCCAGCTGTTACCCCAAAGGAGGGTGGCAATAGGAGGAATTAATAGGTTGCCTGTGCTTTATAGCATGTAGGAGTCTGAGTGGATCTAGATGTTCATCAGTGTGTTCACATAATGCAAGGCTGATGCACAAAATCATAATGCCAGATTGCTTGGTGTATACATATTACATGCATAGCTGTCCTGTGACAGTATGATGAAAGCCTGTTTTCATTGCCTGAATCCCTGCCATGTTTCTCATCCCTGACAAGATTTAGGGCATGAGCTAGGTTCAGCATGGTAACACTGTGAATCTGCCTTGGAAAAATGAATTACACCTATCCCAAGCACTTATGCCTTAAAGAGGATAGAGAAGAAAAAGTAGAGAATAGCAAGATAGTTGTCAACTCTGAAAAATAGATACCTGTAGTCATAACATATCCAGCTGAATGCTGAAATCCAATGTCATTTCTCTCCCCACAGCATTATTCACTAGCAGCAAAAAAATGCTTTATTACTTCCCAGCAGAAAGGGATGTACATTTCTTGTCTGTGTCACTTGTCAGCACTTTCTATCACTTACAGATGGCCATCGCCTGAACAGAGCAGGGCAAAGCCTTGTATAAAGATAAGCACAGATGGCAAAGACTGCTGCCATGTTTTGGAAAGTTCCCCTGATAGCCAAAGACAGCTCCTTCTAAGGGGAGATCAAAGTGCCTACAGAGATCTGCTTAAAGGAAGCTAGATACATCTTTTCCATCTAATTCCTGACAGATGCTGTGCCTGGCCACACTGAGAACAGCTCTCCTTTCTCTGGCCAGTTAACACTCCTGCCTCACCAAATGCAGTGGTGCTGACTGATATGCAAGGTGCACCTAGGGAAGCACCAGTGCACCTCCTTGGAATGCAGGGCTGCTGAGTGCAGGTGTTACAGACAGCTCTCCTGAGAAGTGTTTTCTGCTCCTTCCAGAGAGGATCCCTGGCGGGTAGCAAAGATGGTGAAATCCTACCTCCAACAGCACAACATCCCTCAGCGTGAGGTGGTGGACACTACTGGTCTGAACCAATCCCACCTCTCACAACACCTCAACAAGGGCACTCCCATGAAGACCCAAAAAAGGGCAGCCCTCTACACCTGGTACGTCCGCAAGCAGCGAGAGGTGGCCCAGCGTAAGTACAGCAGTAATTGTTCTCCAGTCCCCAACTTCATAAAAGCCTCTGTTCTCCCTTGCTGATCCTTACTGCCCGTTTCTATCAAGGAAAAAAAAGTGCAGGAAAAGTCACTTCTGGAAGCAAGCTTAGAGAAATCCATGTCAGTATTCAGTAAAGTGAGCCTAACTGCACATGGAAAAATGCCCCATCACAAAACAGTCTGCAGTTACCCACTCCACCCATCACTTTGCTAATTAGATGCAAACTAACATTATTCATTGCCATTGGAGTTTGAAATCCATCCTCAGACTAAAACTGTACCTGATACATCACAGACATTTCTCAGGCATTTCTGGCTGAGCACCAGGCCGGTACAATTTTCAGCTAAAGCAACAGTTCCCCTAGCTGCAAAAAACAGCAAACTATTGTACTTGCTGTAACAAACCACTGCTGGCTACCACCTCATGCTCCAGGCCTCTCTATACAGACACCCATTGGCAACCCATCACTGCAGCATGCACTTCTGTATTCAAGAATCTGCCTGGAATCTCTCACTTAACTTTGTATTCACGAGTTGCAATTAAAACGAGACAGTCAGCCTCTGGGTTGTTCTGGAGAGCAGGACCCCAGTCATACTTACTCTCAAGCCTCCCACATCTGTTTTCACTTCCCCAAGGTGGGAGCTGAGATGCAAAGCATGCAAGAGAAGGGGTAGTAAGCACAGTCCTGCTAGGAATATCTTAACTGTTTCAGCAGATTATGGAACTTGATTTCTACCCCATCTAGATTCAGCCCTCTGTTTTCCATGATGTTTCCTCTAATAGTAAGTTCTACCAGGCCTGCTGGGCAACAAAATGGACGTAACTACTCAAAATGCTTCCAGAAAATAAACTCCCTTGCCCCTTTGTGCCTGCAGAATTCACACATGCTGGCCAGGGCGTCTTGACAGAGGAGCCCATGGGAGACGATCTGCCCACCAAGAAGGGACGAAGAAATCGCTTTAAATGGGGTCCTGCCTCACAACAGATTCTGTTCCAAGCCTACGAGAGACAGAAGAACCCAAGCAAAGAAGAGAGAGAGGCACTGGTAGAAGAGTGCAACAGGTAAAGCAGGGTGCCTGGCCCTGAAGAAGCTGAGCAGGGTCTCTGCATGCTTGGTGTGCTAAGGCCCACATGAAGCAGGGTTGTGGCATCAGCCACATTTGAATCAAGACTGCTGAGCGTTCCTGTTTGCTAAGGATGCAGCGATGCCCCACGTCTCGCTGTACCCAGCAGGACCCTTCCCTGTGGTGTATAAGACCACAGCCGCTTCGGGGTTGCACGCTTACTCCATGCCTTTCAGGCAGACTCAGCAAAACTCTTTTTGTGCTTTCTCCCAACAGAGCTGAATGTATTCAGAGAGGCGTTTCCCCATCTCAGGCCCAGGGTCTGGGCTCAAACCTGGTGACCGAGGTGCGAGTTTACAACTGGTTTGCCAACCGCAGGAAGGAGGAGGCCTTCCGGCACAAACTGGCCATGGACAACTTCAGTGGGCCGCAGCCCACCTCCGCCCCCCCCCTAACTCCTCACAACTCCTCCTCCCTTCAGCCGCCTCCCGCTCTCTCACCCACCAAAGTTCATGGTAAGAAACAACCAGAGGGAGATCTGAAAGGGACCCCTCGGTCTGATGTCCACAAACAAAACCGAGCTTAGCACTTGGTGAAGCGACTCAGTTCTAACAAAGTGTTTCCCCCTGTTGTGATGCAGGAGTGAGGTACAACCAGCAGCCGGCCAGCGAGGCAGAGTCGTCCAGCAGCAACCACCACGGGAACAGCTCCATGGTGACCACACAAACCATCCTGCATCAGGTTTCTCCCCCCGGGCTGGAGCCCAGCCAGAACCTACTGAGCACAGACACCAAGCTGGTAAGTGATGTACAGCAAAGCAGTGGTGACTACAGGGTGGTCGCAAGATAGACTCTTCAGAAATGCTATGTCCTAGAACGTCCTTTAAAACAATTGTATTAAAGATACAGGACAACCTCCTTGCTCTGACTTTGCAGTATGAGAACTCTTGGGGTACCTGTGCACTCCGGACTGATGGGGAGGGTGGGCATTAAGACATGGAAGCACAGGTGTTTCTTTAATACTAACCTAAACAATCTATTGAGGAAAAACAAACAAACAGAACAACCAACAACAAAAGAACACAGCTCCAAGTATGAGACAACTTGGTTTCCTTCTTCGCAGGAGGCTCTTTTCTCATCTCCCTTTCTCCAGTCACACTCATCACCTCTCTCACTTGAACACTGCATATCCCAAAATAGTTGATCAGACACCAATGAGATTAACAGACCAGAGACCAGTTACACCATTGAGACAAGTGGATGTCAACACTGCAGCAACCTACCTTCCTCAAAGCAAGTTTCCTTCTGAGAGTTGTTTTTTTTTTAAAAACCTAACTCTTTCCACTTAACTAGCAATTGAGCATTAGGGCAACACGACTGGTCATCTTGGTTTGCACATGCTCCCTTGCTAACAGGGTTGGCAGCAGTTTGCATTAGTGCACATTGGCCCAAGGCAAAGCTAAGTTCGCTATAAATCAGTTTGATTTAAATCTTTGTTTTTCTGTTTTCTTCTCACGAAAGACTTTTCTCTTTGAGATGCTGAAAGTCTTCTAAAGCCATCTTCTAGAACTGGTATTTGTTTGACAATTTGTCCCACCATTTAACCTGCTGGTGCTTGCTCTTACTAAAGCGTTCTTAGATTTTTTTCTGAGGGGGAAAGAAAAAGTACAGTATAAATCACTGAAATTTCTCCATCAGCAAAATTATTTAATGCCCTCTTGCTGTTCCACAATATCCCAGCTACAGATCTCTAAAGGGCCTTGCAAGTTCAAACCCCATCAGAGCACAGAGAGGGGTGATGTGCTTCATTTCAGAGGTCAAGAAATGAGTCCAGTTATTGGATTTCTTGGTGACTCGAGGTCACAGCCTAAATCAGCAAGACATCCAAGCACAGAATCCGTCCTGTCCAACAGATACGCTTCCCCTCTAACAGCAAGGAACTGTAGTCTGAAGAAAATATTTTATGAGAAAAAAAAAAAAAACTAAGGAATATTTTCAGCAAGCCCTTTAAAATCTTAATCTGAAAACTCACTGGCCACAAAAAGGCACTTGCTGAGAGGAAGGGAAATGATAGGCACTTCTCAGAGGGAGGGGTGAACAAGGAAAGAGGAATCCTGGATTCTGTAGTGAGCTTCCTTCTGAATTTCTCTGGGCACAGTCCTCTTCCCTCAGCTGTGAAGCAGAGGACAAACTTTCCCTTCAAAGAGAGTACAGGGGACTGACCTCATCTGTGTTTGTACAGCCCTCATAGTCTTTAAGTATGAAAGAACTATAAGAGCAAGGATTTCCTCTCTGTATTTCAACACCTGACCTTTGCTAGTTAATTGACGAACATGAGAAAACAGAAAGACTGCAGACAAGCAAAGCTGAAGTCTTTCTAGTTAGCAAGGGCTCAAGGGCAGGCAGGGAGAAATTGCCGACAGCTTTGGGACTCTCCACACTCAGCCTGCTGCAGGTGGCTTTTCCACTGCCCTTCTCTCACACAGATCTCAGCTCCCGGAGGAACTCTGCCCCCCGTCAGCACCCTGACTGCCCTGCACAGCCTAGAGCAGAACCCCCACGCGCTGGGCCAGCAAACTCAGAACCTCATCATGGCCTCACTGCCCGGCGTGATGGCAATCGGAGCTGGTGAGACCTCATCCCTGGCACCTGCATTCACCAACACCGGCGGCTCCACCCTGGTAATAGGTGAGCAGTGTGCTTGGCTGGTTGTTTGCTCTGAGCTCATCAGGACTCTGGTGCAGAGCTACATAGAATGACCTCCCTCACCCTCAGAGATAAAAGCACTGATTTGGCACTGACACACAAGCTGGGGAAACGGCCACGAATACTAAGGATCTTCAGCTGCACTGCTGACAAGTACCCATGAAATTAAGGGACAGACATCCCTTATTCATGTTAGAATTCAGATACACAGAAACCCAAGTCTTGAGTCTCCTATGCCAATGGAATTTTTTTTCTGCTGCTGTGCATCTTCCCAAATATAAACATAACACCAGCTTTAAGTTAAGGGAATTTAAGCATGTTCACAGCAAAAGACAAAACATCCTGTTCTGCTTCCTGCAAAAAGCACACGCAGTCATCACTCCTTTTTTTAAATACTTTTTTTTTTTTTTTTTTTTACCTCAACAGTTTTTCTGGACTGCTATCAGATTTCTTTTCACTCCAGGAAAAACCTACTGCCAAGATGCATCTCATTAGAGAAAGGAGAATAAAATGTGTGCCCTCTTCTTACTCTTTCTTTTCTGGAAGAAAGAGGACCATGAACTAATTTCATGTCCCAATTTGGAATCAATATCATAATCTTGGCTCTAATTCTGTGCAAGCCAAGAAGAAGAATTAAAAGAGATTTCCACAGCGTTAACATTCAGTGTGAGAAAGGCTTGATGAGTAGGGTGTAGGAACATACCCTACATATCCAGGAATACAGTATAGACAGAGATGAGTATTGATGAGTGAAACCTTCTGCCTTTCTCACTGGTTCAGAATTCAGCAGCCCAAACAAAATGAGCTTAAACTTCATTCTGTGTGGCTGGGCAGCTACAGCAGTCATCTGTTACCTACAACTTAATATAAAAGGAAAGAATAAAGGAATGAGATATTGAGAGTTCACTTCTGAGCGAGGACTCCCCAGTGGAAATCTACATCATGTTATCACTTCAGTGGAAAGTGATCTGTACTGGTACAACAGGAGGCACTGCAGGAACAAACACGGGAGGTCGGAGGAGCTTTTTATAGTACCTGTCTGCATTATTCCTTTTGCACTTACCTGCTTCATTTTCATAGGTATGAAATCTACTCCCAGTCACAGTGAACAAAGGGATTTCCTGCAAAGCAGAATCTGATCCCACTGCTCCGACAGAACTGCTGTGACTGCTCCAGAGCAGCCGCTCCTCCCATAGCATGCAATGCCACTGTCATCACTCCTTGTTTTTCAGGCCTGACTTCAACCCAGCCCCAGAGTGTACCTGTGATAAACAGCATGGGGAGCAGCCTCACCACCCTGCAGCCAGTCCAGTTCTCCCAGCAGCTGCACCCGTCCTACCAGCAGCCCCTCATGCAGCAGGTCCAGAGCCACATCAACCAGAGCCCCTTCATGGCTACCATGGCCCAGATACAGAACCCTCATGGTAAGAGTGCAAACTCATTTGCTCATACAAAACAAAACACTTTGTTCTGGAGCACTTCCTGGCTCTGAAACTTAATTGCTATAATTACGAAATTATTTTCCTCTTGCATTCATCCTCCTGCCCCTCCATTCCCAGTATTCCAGAGACAGGCAGCAGACACACGAAGAGAGAAACTCAGCCAAACCAACCTCATGCAAAGCTCCAACACCCACATCATCCTGGGTTGTTTTTTTTTTTTTTTCTTGTACAGCTCTCTACGGCCCCAAGTCTGAAGTGGCCCAATACACACATACAGGCCTCCTACCACAAACCATGGTGATAACAGATACAGCCAATCTCAGCGCCCTGACTAACCTGACACCAACTAAACAGGTAACAGCCTTAGCACGTGCGTCCCCCCACCTTACAGCTGCATCAGTCTGCTGGGAGCTCCTTGCTTCTCAAAGAGCTTTTGGGTGTGTGGCCATCCCAGCAGAATGATCTCTCATCTCCTTGCTTTGCTGGAGGCATTAGAGTGAGCTCCTCACTGCATCATCAAGGATTTAATCTCCTTGGAAACAGCACCTGCTCATTCTTTCTAATCCTCTTCCCCCACGTCTGTTAGTAGGGATGTAGAAACCAGGCACTATTAACTCTTTTCTCCAGGCATTCACATCTGACTCAGAAACCCACACAGACTCTGGGATCCATACACCAGTATCACAGGCACCAGCAATACACCTACAGAACCAAGACACAACCATCCAGCACCTTCAGTCTGGCCCACGCCTCACCTCAAGCCCTGCTGGTAAGAGGAGGAGCCACTTACTCTCTTAAACCACATATTGCAAATAGGTGCACATGTGAGGATGGGAGACTGCACTATTTGTACTTAACTTCTACCTGTGCTTTTAACAGTGTCCTCCAGCAGCCTGGTGCTGTACCAGAGCTCTGACTCCACCAACAGCCACAGTCAGCTGCTGCCATCCACTCATAACGTCATTGAGACCTTCATCTCCACGCAGATGGCATCCTCCACTCAGTAACACCAAGACAACCACCCAAAGGGAGGCTGCCAGGACCAAGGCATAAGGTGCAACTCCAACTGTGTTTGCCATCACTGTCACCACTGCCTTCCACTGGAAGGAATGGTTGCTGCGGTCAGCCAACCTCCAGCCCCTACTGCCTCATAAATCCCTCATTCAGCTGCCTCCAGAGGAGATGGCTCAGGCTCAGAGCAGGAGCTATGGAACAGTGATGCCGGCACCGATAGGATCCACTGACCCCCAAAACCAAACCCAACCCCACAAGCCAGCCTAGAATGAGCAGACATCCTTGTGGATGCTGAAGGAGTGCTACAAAGTCAGATCTGACTGGAATACAGCAAAAAATGCCAAGACGTCTGTGGAACTTTGGTTCTGCTCACCATTACTAGGTTGGACCTGTACAAACCTGCCAACACCAAAGCAAGCCACGCAGAAAAGAGAAAAATTGAGCTGCCAAAAAAGGGACACCATCTTTAAAGCACTCTCCTGATGTA